AGAGAAAACAAATTCCTCTTAATTCTCATCTGAACATAAGACATATCCCCATTGACAAACTCCCCACATAAATTCCCAAGCTTCTGAAAAATATAAAAATTCATGCAACAGGATACCAAATAGTCTAATCAAATAAAAATCTTTCCAAATTAAGGAAGAATGAACCAAAGAGCTCCATACTCTAATTGTTAAGAGCTTACCTCGAACTTGTTGTATTAGAACCTGCATAGCTTTCCGCACATCGTTAGCAGATGCTAAGATAAAGACACAACAATTGTCCTCCATCTTCCTAACCGCAGGCTCATACTACGAACTCTAGGCCCTCTTGCCCAGTCATCAAAGCCAAAATAGTCATTAGATAGTGGTGAGAAAGATCCCACCACCATCTTTGAAGCTCTTCTTACAGAGTCGAGAACTTCATCTTTCGCCAAGATGACATGAGGGTGATCCATCATCTTCCTGCACCCATTATCTTCATCATCACCCTCATCCTTCACTTCCATGCTTAACCTCTCTGTAACCCTCGCTAGTTTTTACTTCCTTACAAAAATAGTCTATCGCAAGAAAAAGCAAAAGTCATAACCATTGCAAATTGAAAATAGTTGTAAAAAGCATCTTTCGTGAAAATGAAAAAGCAAGTCATAACCACTGTATTCGTCTAGGTCATCTTCTGCCACAAAATCTTTGAGATATGATATTCTTCAATGGTCCCCACCCATCTAGAGTATCTCTGATTCTCAAATGTTTCAGATGACTATCAAGCTCCAAATCACCTAGAAGATCATCTTATAACCAGGTTGCAACCTTAAAATATAGAATTAAAGATGCATCTAAAAAATCCATCGGAAAAAGTTGTTTAATGTTGAAAAACCCTATAATTGATCACCTCGACATCGAGATGTATGAATATGGAAAAAAAAAATTTGAGTCCATGAAATAGTGCATATTACCACATATTATTTAAACCATCCAATTTCAAGAATTTCATATATTTATAGATCAATTTTAACCATTTTTTAATTTTAAAATTGTATAATTAGAGAGAACAAATTTTTAGATAATCTTAAAATTTTGGAAAAATTACTTAAATATCCGTTTTAGTTTCCATTAGTACCAAAATACCGTATACTTTCTGTCTGATATGTCAGTTTTAACAAAAAAATTTTAAAAAGACTAAACTACCCATTTTCGATTTTTTAAAAATCGAAACAAAAATTAAAAATTTTCGATTCTTCAAAAACCAAAATTTTTTCTCTCTTAAAACCGACAAGTTTTAGGTAAAAAACTAGAGGCCCACTTTCGTCTGTCTGCTCTTTAAAACCCCACAACCATGGCCTCTCCTATTAGTAAAGATGGTTTCAGGGAGAGAGGGGTCTCAGAGGGGGGTTTGAGAGACAGGATTTCAGAGAGATAGAGAAGGGATTTCAAAGAGAGAGAGAGAGGTAGAGAGAGAATACGCAGAGAGAGGGGATCTCAAAGGGGGGTTTGAGAATCCTCTACGTATTCTCTCTCTACCTCTCTCTATCTCTCTCTGAAACCCCTTCTCTATATCTCTAAACCTCTCTCTCTCTCTCTCAAACCCCCCTCTCTTAATCAGAGACCCCCTTTGTCCTTGAAACCTCTCTCTCCCCCCTCTCTTAATCAGAGACCCCTTCTCTCCTTGAGACCTCTCTCTCTGAAACCATCTTTGCTAAAATGGGAGAGCCCTTCTATATCTCTCTCAAGCCCCTCTCTCTCAATCAAAGAACCCCTCTCTACTTGAAACCTCTTTGTCTAAAACCATCTTTGCTAAGCTCTTTTCTATCTCTCTGAAACGGTATCTCTCTCAAACCCCCCTCTCTCAATTAGAGACCCCCTCTTTCCTTGAAACCTCTCCCTTTGAAACCATCTTTGTTAACCGGAGAGGCCATGGTTGTGGGGTTTTGAAGAGCAGACTAACGAAGGTGGGCATCTGGTTTTTTGCCTGAAACGTGTCGTTTTGGGAGTTGGTTTTTGAAATAACCAAAAATTTTAAATTTTTGGTTCTTAAACAATCGAAAATTTTAAATTTTCTGTTTTTCAAAAACCGAAATTGGCCTGATTTCGGTTTTTGAAAAAACAGAAAATGGGTAGTTTCATCTGTTTTCAAAAAAAAATTTTATGAAGTTAAAAAATGGACATATCAATAATAACAATATTAGTAATAACAAAAAGTATTCGGTATTTTGGTAATAATGAAAACTAAAATGGATATTTACGTAAGCTTTCCTAAACAGTTTTTACAACAAAATTACATATTATTGTAAAATTTGGAGGTGCGTCTTAATTGCATTATTTAAGTTTGCAACCTTATAAAAACCGCACCCAAAGCTTTCCACACAAACATGTTTCATAAACCACTTATTAGAAAAATTTGGGCCAATTCATATGGATGGCAAAGAATCAGCTTATACCTGCCAAATCTGATCCAAGTCGACAACTTCCTCAAAACCTTGGGTAAAGCAAATGCAAAATTTAGTCCTAAGGGACTTCCAAATTTTCCTATCATATTAATCACTCCTTTTCGCGGAGATCCCTCTTCCAAGACAGAATGCGTGTTTTTTATTGTGACAGTTCTAACCGCGTTCGGAAGTGTTTGGCCGATTGGATCCTTGTCGGCCGACGACGCGGTAAATAGAATGTTCTCAAAAGAATAAGGAAAAATTATAAAAGTCCCCCATGACTCAATTTTGTTTACATAACTTGGTCACTAATTTTTTTTTATTACAATTTTTACTCAAAAACTGACTTTTATAACAAAGGCCCCTTAACAAAAAAGTCATAATTTGAAGAATGAAAATACCATTGTTTATAAATGAAGCCGTCTCATTCTTACCAAAGACAATATGTCACTTTATGGTGGCGGTCTAGCATTGAATTGTGGCAGTCCGACAACTCACTGTGGCAAGAAGGCACTTTTTGAACATGCGGTCCGGTATATAGACCGAGCAGTCTAGCATACTGTAAATGCTATCTGGCATATAGACCAAGTAGTCTAGTAGTAGTGGCCCTCCGTTCGCCACAAGGGTGTTGCGATCCAGCACTTGGTATTTTTGAAAAGGCGGTCCGATAACTTTTGGTATGGGTTTCGTTCCGCAAGTAATTTCTACTGGACCGTCTTTTGTGAGTGAGCGTCTACGAGAATGTGACTGCTTCATGCACGGGCAATGGATATTTTCATCATCCAAATTATGACTTTTTGACTTGAGGCCTTCGTTAGTTTTCTAAAAAATAATTAAAAAAAAAAAGCTAAAAGATATTATGCACTCTCGCAAGTATACTATCTAGTTACTCCCTCAGCTAATTTTAGGAATCCAACCTTCTCAACCCGGAAATCAACTGAATAAAAGAAATTCCTAATCGCACTTGCCATGCACTTGAAAAATAATAATTTCTCTACATTGAATAGAGACTATCCAATTTTTAGATGGTGAGATCTATGGGTTAAAAAACTCAAAATTCAAATTTTTTGATTTTGAGAATAATCATCTAATGATTCTTAAGTAGTTCTCAAAATTCCATATAAAAATAAATAAAAAACTCTCCCAAGTAGGTCTTTTGACTGAGGGAATACAAAGGGAATAGAAGAAAACTATGCTCCCAAGGGAACATAGTATACATGCTCAAAAAATTAAAATAAAAGGCACAATTTTTTTTTGTTTTTAAACATTGAATACAGTCATTTCTTCCTAATGCAATTTGTAGATTGCTTCATTTTTCTATACACTTTTTATAATTTGCCTGCAGAATTACCCGTGGTGATCGATGTGTGGACACCGGATAAAATACGTTCTTGATACCAGTGGAGGATATAGTAACTCTTTCACTCAAGGATGCTTTCAGAATCATGGTTATGCCGGAACTACGTATTATCATTTTTCTATTAATAAAAAATCGGGTAGGGCCTTCTTCCGACTACCCAAAAATCGTTTTAATAGAGAAGACTGGCCAATGACTCAGAAAGGAGATAATTCAACATTGACGTTGATTTGATCACTGGCAAAGGGTGGGGCACCAATCTCAAGAGATATCTTGTGACAAAATTATAAGGAAGTTGGAGCTTGAATATTCTTTTAACCATTTCCCATGATAGGAACTCATTGAAACCCGTCCGAAATAAATAGGAGACAGCTGAGAGGTAGACAGTAATATTGGAAAAGATTTCGTACCAACAAAGCGAAGATAAGATAACTCTCAAGGTTCCCTAACAACTTCTAAGGAAAAGATATAAAAAAAAGGTCGAGGCTCTAAACAATCAAAGTAAAATGTACTTTCAAATAATATCGAGAAATGTGGTTTAAATACTGAAAATCTTTGTGATAGCCTTAAAATATATTTTCACCTTTAATTATAAAAATTTGAAGCTTCAAGAATAGTGTGGATAGAGCAGATCTATGAAAACTTGAAAATCTGGAAAATTAATAGTCCAAAAATACGTTACAAGATGCACTATTACAAAACTTGAAATCCATTTTTTTCTTATGTACATACATCTTGATGTCGAGATGATCAATTTGAGGATATTTGAACATCAAAACAACCTCTTCTAATGAAATTTTTGATGTGGGCTTTAATTTGATTGTTTAAAGCCTCAGCTCTATATAGACTTTTTCCTAAAAAAAATGCCTCTCTACTTATTAGAGGACCCGGGACCAAAAAAACACCCCTCTACTTATTAGAGGACACGGGACCAAAAAAAACACTCGAACCTACATGGGCCAATCCAATACAACCTAGGGCGTAATTGTTTGGGTAAATAGCTTGTCAAAAAATGCTTCAAACCAATAATAGAGTGCAATAATGGGGTTTCCATAGGTGCAAAATGCCAAAAGGTGCTTGAAATGGCTCTTTTGGGGAGAATTCACAACAGTACAATATTACTTAATCCCACCACTCGTGGAAGCAAAGGATAATAGATGTCATGTAAGAGCTCTATAATATTGTATTTCTACAAAGTATATTATTCCATTTCAAATAACATATGGTAAAGGTTTACTTCAATTATTCAGCGATGAACATCATGATAACCATGAGAACACATTCAACACTCCCAATGACAATGATACAGGATACTACATTTTAATATGCATTATCAACTACACTTAGGCGTTGTACTTGAAAATTAGTTGTGAAAAGCATTGTTCTTGTGGACTAAATACACAGACAACGACTCATCGCCATGATTTGTTGATAATATCAGGTGGTGGAATGAATATGAATTGTTGGTGTGATTACTCCCAACAATACTCGTGGAAACTACTGTATATTTTCCTGTTGATCATTCGTCCTTAGACAGCCAATCTTCATAAAAGAACTGTAGAAATGGATTGTGGACGCTTGGCTTTTCCTTCATCAAGTTTTTACCACAGTATTGCCACAGTATTGGGCTTTTTCTTTAGCAGGCTGTGTGAGAAAATGTATTTATGCATATTTGGGTCTTAAGCCCCCATGAAAGATGTATTTCAGAGCTTATCGAAGTTGTGAACAAAAGCCCTAATTTATAGGGTTACAAAGCTGTATACTACTAAAAAAAGTAACATATTCAATAAATTACCTTCCTAATATGGGTATATATAAAAGGAAATAGAATATTGTACCAAAAAATAGGTGTAGCTTTCTATAATTTCCACACACCCTCTCAAACTCAAGATGAGTTAAGAGAGAGCAACTTGAGTTTGGATAACTGAAGGCAGAGTAGGAACATAATAGGCTTGAGCAACTACAAATTAGCCATCCTCAGAAACCGACCCCTCGAACAGAGACGTCTCGCATAACAGCAAATCAACAGGCCTCTGGAATAGACAGAATCAAGTAACGAAAAAAACTCGATCACACAGGATGGAGTAATAGAAAACTCCACCATCCAATAGGATTGAGCAACAGAAAAATGAATAATTAAACATAATCGAGTAATGGAAAACTCGATCATCAACTAGGATCGAGAAATTCCATCATCAAACAGGAGGCACGTGGAAGAGCCAACAGAAATCAACGGTAGATCAACAAGCACAGTTGGACTTTAGCTTCAGAGTTGAGAACAGTAAGATCTAAACCAGATCAGAGAGTCGAAACACGACTCTGCAGAGAGACAAATCATAGAGTCAAAATACGACTAGAAATCAAAGAGGTTGTCAAGTGGAAATTGTATTTAGGGAGAGAAACAGTAGTTGTGAATGGGAGACTAGCTCTTTGCAATGGATTTGAATAGGGCACAATTTAAACAATTAATTCTATATGGCATGAAGTTGTGGTAAACTCAAGAAAAACAAAATGAGAGAGAAGGCCACGGGTTTTACCAAATCAAGGGAAGAAGGGTGCCAAGCAGGTCTATCGGGTAGAATAAGCGCCGCAGGAAGACCATGAAACAAATATGGTGGGCTTCAAAAACAGTGCAACGATCATTAAGTCATAGAAAACAAATAAATGATCAGAGCTGCTGATCGGCCTCAGGCGATGACTGACTCAGGTTAGTAGTAGTCAGGCTTGAAGTATAAGGAATCCGAGACATTTCTTTTTTTTTTGGTTGGAGAAAAATTGGTCCATCAAGGATACACATAGGTGCATGTCACTTTTGTAGAGAGGTTCATGAAAAGTGCGTGCAACAAAATGGTTTAAAAAACTAGTCAAAGAGTATTCAACTAATAGTATAGTCCCTCGTTTATAAGGTGAACAAGATGGTCCTCAAAGTTTTGCAATAAAACTCCACCCACTAGACACCCCACTTTGCGCCCGTTTTGCTTTTGAGGTTATATATGGACGGTGTAAAGAAAAAGGAATGGTTCTTAGACCGTGCAAAGGGCATCTGAGAAAAGCTCGAGAGATAAAAAGGAAAGTGGGAGAGGCGAAAAGGGAATCTGAGAGACAGAAGCAGAAAGCCAGAGAGACAAACACAGAAGGATGGCCAGAAGAGAGATGGCCGTGAAATAAAAAAAGGTCGAAAAGCCTGGCCGAAGAAGCACACCAGAACTTGCAAAGACACAACGGATCCGGAAAAACAGGAAAAAAAAAAAAACCCGAGCGACGAACTGATTTATATGTGAGGGTCAACTAAGAATGCTTGAGATCAGACCTCAAATCTGGATGGCAGATCTTCGGAAGCCGATGACAAAATAAAATCTTTTTTTTTTTTTAAACTTATTTCAGATGGGGTTTTAATGGGCGCTCCATTAAGGCTTCTCAAGAAAATTTATCAATACGAAAGCAACAATATTAAGGCTCCAAAGCAAATCGAATTGCAGGAAGATAGAGTAAAACTTTGCTACCTTCTCAAATCTTGTACCCTCAAGAACCTCTACTGGTAAGCCGATTCCATCCTCAGTCAGATCAACAAGAGCTGCAGCCTTCTGATATGGTGTACCATAAGCAATGGCATCGGATCTTCTCATAAGAGTCTTCTGCCCGCCTGTGCTCGTGCTCGTGCTCGCAGGTGGAATCAAAGGGTCCTCTATTGCCTGGCTATCTGAGAATCAAAGAGCACAGAGAGAAAATGACCTCTCGGGCTTTTACAAGCTGCTAGAGAGAGAGAAGATGAACATGAATGTTCCTCTTTTCCCGATCTAGAGAGAGACAAGTGGCTTTCTGAGATCGGAGATGGTTTCGCTGGAAGATGGTGGATGGTAAGTAGTTTTTGCACGATGGTTTTGTAAGGCCGTATTATAGGCGGAGTTGAGCAGTATTCAAATAGTGATTCAAGGCCTTGACCCATCGAAGATGTATCGAAGAAGAGCTTATGAAAGTTGTGAACAAAAATTTTAATTTATTGGGTTATAAAGTTGTGTACTGTTAAAAAAAAATAAAATATTTAAATAAATCACCTTCTTAATATAGGTACATATAAAAAAAAAAATTTATACGAAAAATATTGTATCAAAAAATAAGTACATGTTTCTATAATTTTCATGGGGAGGTTGATTCAACATCTTTATCACCTAGACATGAATATTGTCGTTCCAATCATATACACGTCAAAGTGTCTAATGCTTCAGTTTAAAAAGCTGTTTGGACGCTTGGAAAATGTGAATTGCCATATGAAAAAGGGTGTATTTGATGTTTTAAAAATTCAACATAATTTAAAACATGATAAGATTCTAATCAAATGCTTAACCAGAGGATAACAAATCTGTGACCAAATGCGGCCATATATTTCATATCATAGAAACCACAGGTTTTTATATTATATACTTGGAAAGGAATAGTTCCAAGAGTTTAATTTCCTGTTACAATTTACATTGACCAAATAATGTGATAAAAATCAAATAAGGCTAACTATTCTTGATAATAGCCTTAAGACCTATACATTTGTTTCTGAATAAATAAGATGTTCAAACATATAAAAGGAGATAACATCGGAAGGGATATTAGCCCATATACTTTATCTATAGCAGGGATGCTAATCCTCTGTCTTTGTTCCTTTCAGAAGACAGGCCTCAAGCAGGTATCTCAGAGCGCGTAATCGATTTCTCTCTCTTCTCTCATTGGCCTCAAGCAAGTATCTCAGAGCATGTAATCGATTTCTCTCTCTTCTCTTACTCTATTTCAGTACTTCTTCAACCTATTAGTTATGTTCGCCCAAAGAGTACCTATCTCCAAGAAAAATATGCGACATTCTCATTTATTCACTTGGCTTTTATAACTTTCTTCAGATGATAATGTTCGATCTTTCTTTGATAATCACCAGATATCATCTCCATCTTTGATTTCTTGATGCTTATCTTCTTCCTCACCTTCATGCTGGATCTTCATTTTGTTCTTATTTTCCATGTGAATTCGAATTTGTGAGCTGATCTTTTAGTTCAAATGAACGGATTTTATGGATTTGAATTTGAACTTCAAAGCTTCACGCAAGTTTAAAATTGTGGGTAAATCTCTTAACCCCGATCTCAATCACGTGCAAACTTTGAATTTGTGCTTATCCTATGTGGTCAACCCTTAACCATACGCGAATTCAAATTCACATCCATCTGATGTAGCTAACCATCTCTCTTTTGAATTTTAAATATGCAATCTTGCGGATCAGTCGAGCGATCTGATGAGAAAGACCAGCACATATCTACCCTTTTTATTACTCGTTGGTTTGCCTTTTTGTTCATCTCATTGAATATATTTTCTTCTTCTTGTATGGAACTTTCCCAAACCTTTTAAAGGTGATCGGATCAAGGATCCAACAGTCTAACTTTTTTGGGAAATTCCTCACATTAAAGTAGAAATTACAATATCAATAGTCGAAAGTTATTATGATTGGAACGCACGAGATATGGGGTATTAAAGCTCCAAATGTCGAGCTGTTCGACCTCCGACTAATAGGAAACTTCAAGAAAAAGCACTCCGACATGGTTTCTGGACAGTCTCAATTTGGTCCCAAAGACATCAAGCTTCGGGGTGTCGATTAGGGCATATCCGAACCGATGGTGGATATGAATATGAGTTAAGCCCGGTCCAAATGTCACCTAAGTCATATCACTCTTGGACCTTAAGGCACATGAGGCCTTAATATATTTAGGAATTCACCTTAATATATCATGACGAGATTTTCTTTAAGCTCCATCAGTCAAAACCCCATTATTTCAATATACGATGGACCTTTTTTAAAGATTCACATCACATCTCATTTAGAACTCCTCCAGTATCCAGTGGAGAGGTATTTATGTGCTAGGGAATATATGCATTTCGAAGCTTCGTCATAAATTATAGCATATGTGCATAACCTACGATTGATGTCCATGTTAAGCCGTATTTGTTCTTCTACATATCACATAGATAGGTATACATAGAACCTTAGAAGTATATGTATCGTAGAATCTGTCTCAAAAGATATGGCTTCACCATTTATGTCAACCTTGAATATGTTTAGTTGACAGGCTTTTGGCATTATCAGTTGTGGGTTAGGATTTTTAAGGACTAATCGACGAGTCAAGATTCCTTTAGGCATATCAAGTCTTTCATATGATGGATTTTGATCATGTTATATATTTACATCACATGGGGTACTTCTTGAAGCCTTGTATGAAACTTAGCTATCATATCAGTATCAAATACATCTGGTCCTCGTATGTGACTGAAAATACACCTAACACTGCTACGACAAGAGTAGTTCATGCAATTATTCCTTTAAAGCAAACTTACAAAGTTGTAATGTGTATATATTGAATATTTCATATGTTTACTCTCGGATGCGGCTGGCACATTGGTGAACCATACACACTTAGCATGAGGCATTTTGGATTTAAATCCCACCTCCTTATATTTTACATGTATATTTATAAAAGGGAATGATTTCATGCAACAATTGTATAATAATATAATGCAACCACACTTCTAGAAAGCCATCTTTGTAGCATTTGTATCACCCAAAAAATTGTATATACCCTCTCTTTATACCAATAGTAAATTTTTTTAAAAAATAAAATTCAATTTACATCATAAATATGGTTAAAATGAGTCCCCTTTAACATTAAATCTCGACAGATTTCAAGATCCAAGCCTTTACAAACTCAAAACCATTTTTTTTATATTTTTTAATATTGTTCATCTATTGATAATAAAGCTATCCAAAAATATTGAAAGAGAAAAACCTTTATGCACACGTGAAGACAAAAAGAAAAAAACATAAAATAAATAAAATTAATTAAAAAGACATCCCCTGTGAATAAAAATTATGTCAACATCAAGGAAAAACCATCGCGCAATGGCTACCTTTTCACGCACGCTCTCCACCTTTAAGAGCACTCTTTCTCCCTCCACTCTCCTACGCTACTCCTCCCTCAAACAACCGTAGGGATTACCTACCAATTCACATGAGGAAAATCGAGGTTCCAGACTCTTCATATACTTCAACAAAACAACCACGTCTCACATTGCTGAGTTTCAACAAAGCTAACCAACCAAGGCATGGGTTGTAGACTCTTGTTGCTCATCTTTTTGGCAATGGCCACAAGGAGAGCCAAGTGTAGCGACCCAGATCCTCTCCAGGACTTCTGCATTGCGGACACTGCGAATCCTTATGGCCTCTTCCTCAACGGACAGCCCTGTATCAACCCAGCACGTGCAGAGCCTTCCCATTTCAAGACATCGGCACTAGCATCACCTGGCAACACTCGAGCCAATCCGTTTGGCTTCAATGTTACGCTAACGAGCACAAAGAACCTTCCAGGATGTCATACACAGAGCCTAGCACTAGCCCGCATCGACATAGATGTAGGGGGGACGGTCCCTCCTCATGCACATCCTCGTGCCTCAGAGGTCACATTCATTGTGCGTGGGGTGTTGCTCGTTGGGTTTGTGGACACGTCCAACCGCCTGTACACACAGCAGCTGTTGCCTGGAGATACATTTATGTTCCCTAGGGCCTTGGTCCATTTCCTCTATAACATTGGCTCGACGCCAGCCCTGGCGATCTCAGGACTCAGTAGTCAGAATCCGGGGGCACAGCTATCTTCTCTGGCTACATTCACAACGAAGCCAGCGATGCCGGATGAGGTGCTAAAGAAAGCGTTTCAGATCACTGGACAGGATGTCCAGAGGATGAGGAAGAACCTAGGTGGATAACGATCATGGCATAAGCTACTGCCGATATTCATAGAAGTTAGGTATTGAGATCAACAAATAATTTACTCTCTCTTAAGAGATAAAATTAGAGGGACCTATGGATTTACTACTTTTGTGGAAACTGTTGTTACGTTTGAAATTCAATTAAATTGAAGTGATGTTTATAATATTTCCCTTGTCGTTCCTTAGAAAAAGAAAATCACTATCCCTTGAACTTTATTGATATGATTTACAAATATTTCTGGTAATTACCAAAGCTGTGATTTAGTGTCCCAAGAACGAGAATAAGGAAATCAATTGCCGAAAGTGCATCAATATTTATTAAGAACAATCAAAGTGTCAAGCACATGAATGAAGGTCCAGGCCAAACCCATCAAAGTCAACCTAAGCCCTGTGCCATGCCCTCTGTATTGTTGTTTTAAAATGGGCGATAACTCCATGAGCCCAGCTCACTGGAGTTTAGATGTTACGTATGATTTTGATAATAGAAGAGAGGTTCGGTTATGAATTTATAATTGTTTGAATTGAAATAAGGCCATGTGAAAGAATGTCAATAAGCACCGAGTTATCTGTATGATAACGAACCAGGTTTACCGATCGAGTAATTTATGTACGGACAAAAGTACAAAATAGGCTAATTTTGGGTAAAACTTATGCATCCGTCAGCGTGCGTTTTTTTTTTTTAAATTCAAAATTATCTTTTGGTCTGAGAATGCCATCATTGGATCGCTTTTTAATTTTTTAATTGTTTTAGTTTTTTCGTTACTAAGGCAGTGCCTTAGTCCGACAGGTAGTGCCTAGCCAAGAAGGTAGTCTAAGGTTGGCATCCTAGAACTGCCTAATTTCTTAGCAAACAAATGAGCTAATACGGTCCAAGGAAGCCAACCTCGGACCGCCATGAAGAGCGCTACAGAAGACAGTCCAAGAATGGGCAATTCAAACTGTCTCTTAGCAAAGTCAGTCTTTACAGTCCGAGGATGCCAACTTCAGACCATGTTGAAGAGCATCACAGAAGGCAGTCACATTGGACTGACTGGGTAGGTCTCCAAACATTAAGGTACATCCCTACTATTGAAAAAAACTCAAGAACAAAATAAGATGGATGGAAGGAAGGCTGGTCTTTCTCTCTCTCCATATCTAAGGGAAAAAAATTACGCCACTTTGAGGAGTTTTCTCAATATTGGGTAAGCATCAAACTGGGAAAGAAGGGAGAAGCTTTGGCTTGCCGCTTTTGCAGGAGGATCATCTCCTCAAATACAATATAAAGAAAGGAAATATAAAAGAGAAAGGAGCACATCGTTTTAGAGGGAGAAATATCTCAAACAAATCAACTTCCTACATTAGAAAAGGGGCAAAGAAGAGAGAAAAGTGGAAAAAATATCCCTTTACTGTACAGAACAACTAAATAAGTTTATAAGGAAAGAGATTATTAGTAAAAGAATTACATAAACTTGATGCTATGGAGCTTCCACACTTACCTCAAAAGTCTATAACTCACACATGCTTCTCTTTATATTTTCTCTCTCTACAATTTCTCCTCTCTGAATTTCATATAAATTCTAAATGAAATCCTCTATCCAACCTAGCTTATTTTTGAGATTGCATCCCAAAATTGGGTTTCCTGAGACTATGGTAGGACGATATATTTGTTGGGTGAGTGTAGCCATTAAATGCTTTATGAGTGTTTGTAAAATGAAATGATATAGTGAAACATAAACTTAGTGGGAGAGTGGTCCTTCGTGGATCATACTAAGCAAGCAATGTTTGCTGATACCAAATTGAGCTTGACGAGCTAGGCCAGTTGGTTGGGAAAAACCTATGTTACCTGGGCATAAATATATATCCGATAAGGGTTCTAATAGGTCATCCCTTGATGTGGTCGGAGTATGCTCAGATGAGTGAATCAAGAGACTGTGTGACCCTTGTATGTGATGGTGACCTTCAGAGATGGGAGCCAAATCCTCATCCGTGAGCCATCACACAACATGTATAATGATAGCCATTTTGAGAAAGTGAACCATATTTTAAGGTGAAGCTCATACATATGTGAGACATACCCCTATGCGCCATAGCAGCTGTGATCGTATTAGGTCTAGGTGACCTTGATACGTCTCTAGGGGATAACCAGAAATCCACAAACTAGGATTACAGCCCCTTGGCTCATTAGCCAGACTTTAATGACCCACTAATGAGTGGTTAGGTGCCTCGATCTTGCCCTTTGGATCCGAATGATCGGGCGACATGCGTCTCGGGTTTCTAGGGAACCCGGGACTTTGAGATCGCTCTCTCGGGAACCTTGCTAAAAACAAGGGCAAGTAGACCAACCGATGAGAGAGGAATTTAAGGAGAGTTCGGAACTTACTCGGGCTGGGTTGCGTGGGTGCCCTCTTAGATTACAAAGATAGCCCTCTAGTCGTAAAACTGGTTTGGAATTGCCTCCCTTGGCCTGTATTCTCCTGTTTATGCAATCACACACACATGGAAAATATTACAAGATAAGTAGGTCAAGGGACCCCACCTTGCCTTTTGGGAACGTATACGGACATGCACATTCAAAAAGAAGAAGAGAAGAATGAGAGAATTAAGATTGGGATGAGAAGAATTTGACCAGGCGGTGAGAGTGACTAAACTAGTAGGTAATTGACCCAGTGTGGTAGTAAAACGGGCTCGATAACTCAGACCGGCTAAACATAATTACTACTAGACAACAATATCAATACTAACCAGCTTGACACGATAGCTAGTCTATCGTGACAGTAAAGTAGGCACAATAACTCTGACTGGCACAACGACGTTACCTGTAGACGACAGAATTACCATGAAGTGCTAGTCTTAAACCTTATTAATCAAACGAAAGAGTAAAAGAAAGAAAAGAGAATAGAAAGAAAAAGAAGAGCATGAAAGAGGATAGAGGGATAAGAGAGAGGAAGAGGAAGAAGAGGGGGGAAAAGCAAGGAGAAGAAGTAAGAAAGAGAAGGAAGAGGAAGAAAGGCACAGACAACAATGAGATGGGGAGAGATAAGACGCAGATGGCGATGACCTCTACCGGCTATGACGTGAGTGAGGAAGAAACACATGCAGCAACGTGTTATGTCGGCTATGACAGAAGAAAGAGGGGGATGAGACTCAGGCGGTGATGGTCCTCTGCCAGCTATGACTTAAAGAGAGAAGAGAGAAGAGAGAAGAGAGAAAAGAACACAGGAGGTAATGTGCTTCCACCGTTTGTGATAGAAAAGAGAAAGAGAAAGAACACAAGGGGCAATAGGCTTACTCCGGTTGTGTTAGAAGAAAGGGGAGAGAAGATAGGCGACGCTAAGCCTTCGCTGGCTGTGGTAGAAGAAGAGGAAAAAGAAAATGTAGATGGTGCTGAGCCTTCACAGACTATGTTAGAACAGACAAGAAGTGGAGCACAGACGGCAATGGACTACGCAGTCAGAGACACAAGAGAGATGAAAGAGAGCACAGACAGCAATGGGCTTCGCCGTTTGAGACACAAGAGAGATGAGAGAGTTTTGATAGAGGCTTGGCCCGCCATCCAGGTTAAGGCCCGACTCGCTGTTTATCTCTCAGAAACATGAAGACATTACACCTGGTAAGAATCTGTAATGTGTGAATAGAGAAAGAAACAAGAGCAGGGAAAGAGAGACATGATAGACCAGAGGAGGAAGAGAGACAAAGAGATAAATATGAAAGCAGAAAAGAGGAAGGGAGAGATGAGAGAGAAAATAAGAGAAAGAAAGAGAGAGATAGAGATGAGAAACGAGGAGAGAGGAAGAGAGATAAAGATGAGAGGGAAAGAGAGATAAAGACGAGAGGAAAAGAGAGATAGAGACAAGAAAAGAGGAGAGAGAAAGAAGGGAGGAGAGAGAAAATTATCTTATCGAAGGGTACCAGCCCTTTTCTTCTCTCTCCTCTCTCTCTCCAAGAGGCACCCACTAGTTTAAGCAAGAATTGAAATCTTTATTGAATGATTAAAGAATGACTCCAAGGTTTTTTTACAATTAGGCTTTGCATGTTTATATAGAATTAGGCTCAAACATGGGTGGATGCTCAAAAATTTCTAAAATTGAAGATAATTACAATTTAATTGAATTAAAAGAAATTTTAAATTGGATGAAAAAGGACTATTTTACCCCTGCATAACAATGTGTGGAATTTCAGAACAGCCCCTGCTACTGCCTGAGAACTTGTGTGATCTTCCATGACTAATCCGAGGTTGCTCTGATGCCCGTTTGACCGAACGATAATTTTTTTCTTGTAGGGCTCGTCATGGCGATCGATTTGATATCAACTTCGAGCCATGAATCATGTTTTTAAGCTATGATCATGAGACTTGAAATTTGCTTGAATATTGAAAACTTTGGATCGATAGTGTGCTCGTTTCTTGATGTTTGTCTTTGGTTTCTTTGCTGAATCATATTGAGCATGCCGTCACGATCACGTTGTAACAAACGCAACTCGATTTCGTATCCGGACGAAGATTTCGTCCTCTTGAGTTTTTGACTGGAATCTTGAAATTCGGTGCCAAAATTTACAGCATCTTCGATGCCTCCATGTGTGAAATCCAACCGTTCATCCTACGCAGGGTTCAGACTAGAGATGGCCTCGGACCTTACGCACATAATACGATTGGTTTCGAGTCGATCTGGTATGCGAGCGTCGTGATTTAGCCACTTGAATGAGGTGTGCTGCTGCTGATTGGTTTCGAGTCGATCACAGGGCATACCACTTATCGAAATGCTCGTCTTAGTGAGATGAACACACTCACAAAATTTGAGCGTGGTCTGACTTGGAACGAGTGAGATATGGGCCCCAAAATTTACTATGCGTGACAGTGAAAACAACCACCTTTAATGGTGTTTTGGTGCAGGGTGGCTACACGGAAATGGTATGCGACTTACCCCTTTTCGATATTTTACCCATAACTTTGTCGTAGAGTGCCCGATAAAGCTGAAACTTGACCCATAAGGGTTTTCGACCATGTTGAATCCAATGGCTGTGGTCCCACCACTGTTTGACTCATCAAAAATATAGTTCTAGTTATGGAGTCTATTTTAGGGTGTAAGAGACCGATTTTGCCGCTTTAGATATGTCTGATTGCGATGAAACTTGGTAGGTGGCCTTTTAAAGTGCTTATGAAGATATTGACCAGTTCTGGGGCTATTATGA